TCTCTTAGGGTTTTCCCAGCCACCCTGCAGACAAAGCTCATTTCGGCCGCCTGTATCCAGGATATTGTCCTTTCGGTCATGACCCAAAGCTCATGATCATAGGTGAGAGTAGGAACGTAGATTGACCGTTAAATCGAGAGCTTCGCCTTGCGGCTCATCTCCTTCTTCACCACGACAGACCGGTACATCGACTGCATTACTGCAGAAGCTGCACTGATCCATCTATCAATTTCCTGTTCCATCCTTCCCTCACTCGTGAACAAGACCCCAAGATACTTAAACTCCTACACTTGAGGAAGGAACTCTCCACCAACCTGAAGTGGGCAAGCCACCTTTTTCTGACTGTGGACCATGGCCTTAGATTTGGAGGTGCCAATTCTCATTCCAGCTGCTTCACACTCTACAAACTGTCCCAGTGCATGCTGAAGGTCCTGGTCTGAAGGGGCCAACACGACAACATCATCCGCAAAGAGCAGAGACGAAATCGTGTGGTCCCCAAACCTGACACCATCCGGCCCCTGGCTGCGCCTAGAAATTCTGTCCATAAAAATTATGAACAGAACCGGCGACAAAGGGCAGCCCTGCCGGAGTCCAACATGCACCGGGAAGAAGTCTGACTTACTGCCGGCAATGCGAAGCAAGCTCCTGCTTCAGTCGTACAGGGACCGGACAGCCCTCATACTCCCGGAGCACCCTCCACAGGCCGCTGCGAGGAACACAGTCGAATGCCTTCTCTAAATCCACAAAACATTCTCGGAAAAATTGTTTGCTGTCAACTGTCTGTCACAAATGGTTGCTGCAAGGATGAGTAGATGCAGGAACTAGTTGCAACAGTAAAACTTTAATAAACAATAAATCAAAAAAACAAACTCTCAGGAGATTATTAGCACAAGAACAACCAACTAATATAGACGTAGAACGGACAAATGAACAATGGAAACTCAGGACTTAAGTACACAGAGGTAAACAAGGAAAATGAATGATCAACAGGGAGACTATCATTCAATCCCAAAATGATCCACAATAACAAGTGTACAACCAATATACACTCAATGGCTAGAAAATACCCATAATGCACTGTGAGTTGTGTGCTGAAGGAATTTCCACATCTCGCCAGGAGATGGTGCCACCATACCAAACCATGCTAGTCCAGCGTAATTCATACAGGTATAAATTCCGTTTTAATTGATTGCTAAATTGCTTATTTACTGTTTATACATGCTAGTTTCCATGACAGAGTTAGGATAAATCTTTTCATTACTACTGGTGCTGCCAGTTTGCCACGTTTCAATTAATTATTAAACTGCAAGCACAAACTATGTAAAAGCGGCAGCCCTTCTGGCGCACTCAGTGTCCGAATTCACTCACTCGTTTTCATTCACTCCTTCAAGTGGACTATATTAGTGGAGTAATTTTGGCAATAGTGAATGAGGATGTAGGGACCGATTTCTAACACAGCATAGGTCAGGATACAATACATATGGCAGAGAAACAGAAACAAATCAAAATACACTGAACAACACCTCCGTAAAGACACGTCCTCACTTTGATGTCTTGCTGGCAAACAGCAAGACATCAAAGAAGTTGACATTGGGAGGAGCCAGGCAGACCCAGAACACAACCCAGTGGAAGGAGCCATGGTGGAGGTTTGGCTGATGATACCAAGGGATCGACTGATGGAGATGTGGCCGATGGTAGTGGACCGGAGGCGGAGGCGGAGCCACAGCGATGAGATTCAAAGGGGGAGCCAGAGGACAGAGGGCCGAGGCTGAGCTACCGGGAAGGCAGCTCTGGTGGAGATGCGAGGATAATGGTGTCTGGTGGAGCTGCGAGGATGATGGTGTCTGGTGGAGCTGTGAGGATGATGGTCTCTGGTGGAGCTGTGAGGATGATGGTCTCTGGTGATGATGGTCTCTGGTGGAGCTGCGAGGATGATGGTGTCTGGTGGAGCTGTGAGGATGATGGTATCTGGTGAAGCTGCGAGGATGATGGTATCTGGTGGAGCTGCGACGATGATGGTCTCTGGTGGAGCTGGGAGGATGATGGTCTCTGGTGGAGCTGCGAGGATGATGGTGTCTGGTGGAGCTGCGACGATGATGGTCTCTGGTGGAGCTGTGAGGATGATAGTCTCTGGTGGAGCTGCGAGGATGATGGTCTCTGGTGGAGCTGCGAGGATGATAGTCTCTGGTGGAGCTGCGAGGATGATAGTCTCTGGTGGAGCTGCGAGGATGATAGTCTCTGGTGAAGCTGCGAGGATGATAGTCTCTGGTGGAGCTGCGAGGATGATGGTATCTGGTGGAGCTGCAAGGATGATAGTCTCTGGTGGAGCTGCGAGGATGATAGTCTCTGGTGGAGCTGCGAGGATGATAGTCTCTGGTGGAGCTGCGAGGATGATAGTCTCTGGTGGAGCTGCGAGGATGATAGTCTCTGGTGGAGCTGCGAGGATGATAGTCTCTGGTGGAGCTGCGAGGATGATAGTCTCTGGTGGAGCTGCGAGGATGATAGTCTCTGGTGGAGCTGCGAGGATGATAGTCTCTGGTGAAGCTGCGAGGATGATAGTCTCTGGTGGAGCTGCGAGGATGATGGTATCTGGTGGAGCTGCGACGATGATGGTCTCTGGTGGAGCTGCGAGGATGATGGTCTCTGGTGGAGCTGCGAGGATGATGGTGTCTGGTGGAGCTGCGACGATGATGGTCTCTGGTGGAGCTGTGAGGATGATAGTCTCTGGTGGAGCTGCGAGGATGATGGTCTCTGGTGGAGCTGCGAGGATGATAGTCTCTGGTGGAGCTGCGAGGATGATAGTCTCTGGTGGAGCTGCGAGGATGATAGTCTCTGGTGAAGCTGCGAGGATGATAGTCTCTGGTGGAGCTGCGAGGATGATGGTATCTGGTGGAGCTGCGAGGATGATAGTCTCTGGTGGAGCTGCGAGGATGATAGTCTCTGGTGGAGCTGCGAGGATGATAGTCTCTGGTGGAGCTGCGAGGATGATGCTATCTGGTGGAGCTGCAAGGATGATAGTCTCTGGTGGAGCTGCGAGGATGATAGTCTCTGGTGGAGCTGCGAGGATGATAGTCTCTGGTGGAGCTGCGAGGATGATAGTCTCTGGTGGAGCTGCGAGGATGATAGTCTCTGGTGGAGCTGCGAGGATGATAGTCTCTGGTGAAGCTGCGAGGATGATAGTCTCTGGTGGAGCTGCGAGGATGATAGTCTCTGGTGGAGCTGCGAGGATGATAGTCTCTGGTGAAGCTGCGAGGATGATAGTCTCTGGTGGAGCTGCGAGGATGATAGTCTCTGGTGGAGCTGCGAGCATGATGCTATCTGGTGAAGCTGCGAGGATGATAGTCTCTGGTGAAGCTGCGAGGATGATAGTCTCTGGTGGAGCTGCGAGGATGATAGTCTCTGGTGAAGCTGCGAGGATGATAGTCTCTGGTGGAGCTGCGAGGATGATAGTCTCTGGTGAAGCTGCGAGGATGATAGTCTCTGGTGGAGCTGCGAGGATGATAGTCTCTGGTGGAGCTGCGAGCATGATGCTATCTGGTGAAGCTGCGAGGATGATAGTCTCTGGTGAAGCTGCGAGGATGATAGTCTCTGGTGGAGCTGCGAGGATGATAGTCTCTGGTGGAGCTGCGAGGATGATAGTCTCTGGTGAAGCTGCGAGGATGATAGTCTCTGGTGAAGCTGCGGGGATGATAGTCTCTGGTGAAGCTGCGAGGATGATAGTCTCTGGTGAAGCTGCGAGGATGATAGTCTCTGGTGGAGCTGCGAGGATGATGGTATCTGGTGGAGCTGCGAGGATGATAGTCTCTGGTGGAGCTGCGAGCATGATGGTATCTGGTGAAGCTGCGAGGATGATAGTCTCTGGTGAAGCTGCGAGGATGATAGTCTCTGGTGGAGCTGCGAGGATGATGGTATCTGGTGGAGCTGCGAGGATGGTCTCTGGTCGGTAGCTCGATATTGTATTGCTCGGTAGCTCGATTCAGTTTTTCATCACGAGGTAGGCCTGTGTTATTTAGTTACGCGTGTAATGCGCGAATCGGTGGGCGGGGCTAAACCGGTCGTGTTGATGTAGGCATTGATCTTCTTCAGCGGGGGTGGTGTTTTATCCTTTTTGACGTCATAGTTCCCCACTTTGAAAAATGAGTCGTTTGCTGAGGCTGGTGTCAATAAAAGCTTTTATTAGACTAACAAGGACGTTTTCAGTTCTGAAACTTACAGGATATTCTAATAATATGATGACCTCTTAGATGTCAAATGCTCAAGGAAAATTTGATTTCTCAGTTCATCACCCCGCTAAGTTGCAGTCACATTTAGTAAATAGGTCGAATTGTAAGATTCTGAAAAAAAAAAAGTTTGAAAAAATGAAGATTGTTTATAGTTTTTTAGCCTGCAATTTTGACTTCTGTTCCCTCATAATTGTGAGATATAACTCGCAATTGTGAGGAAAAAAAAGTTATAACAGCCGTGAGATAAAAAAAAGTCACAATTACCTATTTAAATTTTTAATTCAATGTCGGAAACAAGCGATTTACGATACGATTCACGAGAATTTTGCATGAGGGAGAAATTTCCCTGTGCAAATTTCACATTGGATTAAAAACAATTTTAACTGTTACTCGAATTCACCATATCAATATATAAAACTGCTTGGTTTAGCTTACCTACACTGTCCGTGAAATTTAACCGAAGTCTCGCTAATGTGGTTGTGCTTTTAAAATATGTCATTGGTAATTTGTCCCAGTTCTATGGAATGAAATGCCATGTCCAGCACACTCAAAAAGGTAAACGAAACAGTGTGTGCCCATATTCTTTTATTTTTTTGGTGAAATTCATTTCTTCAGATTCAGCGATCCAATTCATTTTTGAATGAAAGCCAGAGCAGCAAACTGTGCCAACTGACTGTGACGGACTGCCATTTTGCGAATACTTTTGTGTCCTTGTAATGCAATTTAAATGATTTACAAAGCACGTCTGCATAGCTAAGCAGTTGCCTGTGTTTGCAGGTAACCCTCCCTCGGGCCAGAGAAAAAAGAACATGAAGCAGCGCTTCCTCAAACTCCTGCCCTGCTGTCATGTGGACTCAAGCCCAGCTGTCAGGCAAAGCAAGTGACCCGCTGTCTGATGCTTTCCTTTCCTTGACTGATTAGACATCCAGGTGAAACTCAAACAATTAGAATATCGTGCAAAAGTTCATTTATTTCAGTAATTCAACTTAAAAGTTGAAACTTATCTATTATACAGACTCATTACATGTAAAGTGAGATATTTCAAGCCTTTATTTTTTATAATTTTGATGATTATGGCTTACACAATATAATTTTGAATTGGGGGTTTTCATAAGCTGTAAGCCATAATCATCAAAATTATAACAAATTAAGGATTGAAATATCTCACTTTGCATGTAATGAGTCTATATAATAGATTAGTTTCACCTTTTAAGTTGTGCACGATATTCACATTTTTCGAGTTTCACCTGCATTACCGTAGTACTATTTCTGCAGTTTCTGCATGTTTATGTTTCCATCTGTTATATAGACAGCATTGATGAGGACTTTGAGGTTGCTACGGTGTGCTACAGGCCGGATAGTGTGGATAAACTGATGGAACTTACCAAGTTCACCAGAACAGAGCTAAAAGTCCTCTACAGAAGTTTCAAAAGTGTAAGAAACTTTGACCTGTTCATAGACCCAACAATAAGGGTGTGTGTTCACACTTGGCAGGTTTGGTTTGATTAACGCCAATCCTGGTACGATTGCTCTGTAAGTGCAGCAAATTTGAATAAGCGTGAACGCTGCCTTGCGCATCAAACAAGAGGATCGAGATACATATCCTTTTTAAAAATTGAAATGTATTGTAAATATGTAAAAATTCTTTCAGTATATTTTTGTTTATGAGTATTTTATTGTGCATTAGGAATGTCCCACTGGAGCAGTAAATGAAGAGACTTTTAAGTTAATCTTCGCTTACTTTTTTCCTCAAGGAGGTGAGTGAATAAAGCATGAAGGTGAATTAATTTGTTCCAACTCTTTAATTAATCGAATTTAGACCTTGCCTTTATAAATCCCTCCTTTGTTTCTCAAATTAAGTCTAATGTTTTACGCTTCATCTTTTGAAGATTCTAGTGCTTATGCTCATTTCCTGTTTGAGGCTTTTGATCGCCGCAAGAATGGAGCAGTTAGTTTTGAGGTCAGTTATTCATATATGTATACTTATTCTTATTTAAATTCATTTAGCAATGATTTTATTTTTAATTGTTATTTTCACCAAAATCAGATGATGTAACCTAATCAAACCTAATACGTTACGTGTTTATACTGTATTTTCTCTCTTATTTCTCATTGGCTGCAGGACTTTGTGGTTGGCTTGTCCAACATCCTGCGTGGGACCGTCACCGAGAGACTGTGCTGGGCCTTTAGTTTGTATGATCTCAATAAAGATGGCTGCATCACTAAAGAGGTACTTCATGTTTTTTATGAATGTATTTTTAAAGGTATTTTGAGATTTATTTGAACATTTATTTTGTCCATTGTGAACCCATTACTGTATTCATCCATTTTTTAGGAGATGAATGACATTATGAAGTCCATTTATGATATGATGGGGAAGTATACGCATCCGTATATGAAGGACAGTGCACCTACTGAACATGTCGAAAGTTTCTTCAAGGTATTTTCAAGTATCTTCTTTCACAAGGCAGAGATTCATAGAATTAAAGCTGGAAGCCCCAAAGGATGTCAAAACTTCATATTTTACAGTCTTAATAAGTATACTACAATATTTTATTTATTATTTCTGCAATACATATGTTTAAATCAAAGTTTGATAGTGATAATGTAACCACACAATGTACATTTTTCCATTTTATAACAAATTAAAGGTACAGTAAGGGATTTATTAGAAACACTGTTGAAAATTCAAATCTACACCGAAACAAACAATTCTGTGAATATCTGCTCCATGTGTGGTCTGTGTGTGTGAGCTGAAAATAAAATTGTGTGCTGGCTGTGTAAATAGGAGGAAAAAACAATGTGGATTGGAAGGATCCACGATGCACCAAAACACTCTTGTAGCCAATCAGCCGCAGGGGGCGTGTCAACTCATAATGGAGGAGAAGAGAGAGTGAGCCAATCAACTGCAGGGGGCGTGTTCACTCATAATGGAGGAGGAGATAGAATGAGCCAATCAGCAGCAGGGGGCGTGTCCACTCATAATGGAGGAGGAGAGAGAGTGAGCCAATCGGCCGCAGGGGGTGTGTCCACTCATAATGGGGGAGGAGAGAGAGTGAGTCAATCAGCAGCAGAGGGCGTGTCCACTCATAATGCGGAGAAGAGTGAGCCAATCAACTGCAGAGGGCGTGTCCACTCATAATGGGGGAGGAGAGAGAGTGAGCCAATCAGCAGCAGGGGGCGTGTCCACTCATAATGGAGGAGGAGAGAGTGAGCCAATCAGCAGCAGGGGGCGTGTCCACTCATAATGGGGGAGGAGAGAGAGTGAGTCAATCAGCAGCAGAGGGCGTGTCCACTCATAATGCGGAGAAGAGTGAGCCAATCAATTGCAGAGGGCGTGTCCACTCATAATGGGGGAGGAGAGAGAGTGAGCCAATCAGCAGCAGGGGGCGTGTCCACTCATAATGGAGGAGGAGAGAGTGAGCCAATCAGCAGCAGAGGGCGTGTCCACTCATAATGGGGGAGAAGAGAGAGTGAGCCAATCAGCAGCAGGGGGCGTGTCCACTCATAATGGGGGAGGAGTGGTAGCCATACCTTCAGACTGACATCTCGGCTTTCATTGTCTGAGAACAGCCGTCTGACCGACATGTAAAGCAACCAATCACAGTTAGTTTTGTTTCGCGTCATGTAAAGACGATGTCCCAATGATAACAGTCCACAGCTAATAAATTATTCACTCAAGAACATTGCGCAAGTTTACTGCAACATTGGCGCAAGAAACTTTGCATACTTTTGAAAATCCAGCGTTCAGTTAAAAACACAACTGCATCTTCTTTCATGAGGGGTTTTGGCTTCACGGCGTCTTTGTTTCCAGGCAGACCGTTAAAGAAAATTCTGCGAAAATCTCCCAGAAATCCTATAGAATTCCACCAATCAGATGATGGCTTCAAACTCTTAAAATCTGGACACTTGAACATTTTTTGAGTATATCCAGAAATAACATTTTGCAAAATGTTCTTATTTTTGTTAGCAAGGAGTACATACATATTTTTATTTAATTTATAATTGTACTATTATTATTTCTAATGCGCGCCATGTTTCTGGCACAATATAGGTCTCAAATGATTGATTGTTTTTTTTCTGTGTGCACTCAGAAAATGGATCGCAACAATGATGGCATCGTCACGATAGAGGAATTCCTGGAATCGTGTCAAACGGTACAAGGGCGACACCAAAAACAAACTATTATTTCTATATTTTTATGCTTTTGATATTTAATAGAAATATTGTGACTTTTTGTTGATTGTGAATGTACTCATAAAAACTTGAATTTTTAAAGTTGAATTTAACACTCCCAAAATGCATTTTAAATGAATTTGGATGATACCTACATGACCTGTAATGATATTTAATATGTTCTTTGTTTTTGTATTTTATCTTTTTACCAATAATTTTTGCTCAGGATGAGGCCATCATGGAGTCCATGCATATGTTGGATCATGTAGTTTAGCTCTGTATGATGACATCTGGCAAACATTGCTGGATGACTACCTCCATCTTGTACCTACAAATGACTGGTGCAATGTGAGCATGCCACGTTATTTCACACCCTGAGGATGAAATTATGTCTTTAAAGATCAACTGTTATATGCCACTGTCTTTGCATTTTTTATATATATATTTTACATATAATGTGATTAGATATCTTAAGCCCATTCAACATACAAGGCACTTAAAATGTGAATCTTTCTGTTTTTAATTTGTCTGTCAGTTGTACAAAAATTATTAATGTCAGATGTTATTAATTCAGTTGTGTTGTGTAATACATTATTGTAAATATATGCACAGCAATTTACAATTATTAGTATCAATGAGATTTGACATGTGAACTATGCAAAAGTGGGACTGTTGTTGGATCGCAATGGAGCATAAGATACATTATTATAAATTAATTGATATATATATATATATATATATATATATATATATAATTTTTATTTTTTTTATTCCATTAATGCAGTTTATCTCTGATCATAAGACGTTTGAACACTTTGACCATGCAATTATTTAGACTATCATAAAATTTTCAGTAGTTGATGCATATTTCATGTGAATTTAATGTCTCTTTTTTTTTGTCAAAATCAGATGTGTTTTATTTATTTTTTATTTAAAATAAATGTATGATTGCTATGCACAGCAGTGTTGATTGCATTTCTATAAATTCTCATAAAATCCCACTTACAACGCTTAGCTGCTTAACACCTAAATGTGTTAAAATTTTAGCAATAATAATAAAAAAATTTGAATAATATTATAAAATTAAATTATATTTACATTTATAAATAAAAAACAAGCTCCTGGCTGCTACAGAAGACTGTCTTTAGATGGCTGATCCCAGAACTGTAGAGCACACTGCAGACATTTGAACCGACCAATCAGCGCTCAGAACACCCGCCTGGCCCCAAATCCCCTCCCACTTTCCGCTCACTGCCCAATCATGATTAAGCGTCGGTTAACGCCTCAACAGCGGCGGATTCAAACTGAAGATGAAAGATGGCCGCGGAGAAAGACACCGATGTAAATAAACAAGACAGAAGGTAACCAATATTTATTTACAAACACGTTCGCTTAATATACATAGTATGAAAATGCAGTAAAATATTGATACTTTTGAATAACTGCAAAGAAACGGGTGGATAGGAACACCGAGGTGAACATGTAACGTTAGTGTCATACGCAATGCTTTGTGTTAACGTTACAGTTTGAAACGCAAAGAAATGACACAAAAATAACATTGAATTCCTGTCACATAACCTAAGTACATGTAAAGTTAGAGATATATATTTATACAGAGAGAGTTAAATAGATTAGATATATATAAATATGTAGTTTCTTCTGTCGTAACTTTGAATGAGCATAAACACAAAGTACCAAACGTTATTCTTTGAGGAGGCGTATAAAATCATGTAACGGTAAAGTTATTTGTGAATCTTTCTGGGCGTAATAGTACTATGGTATTACCATCTGAAACATCCACTGTGCTTTTCACTGCCAAAGAAACTAGAATGTATTCAAGTGACACTGACAGTAAGATTCAGGAAGAATCGTACATGATGTTTTCCAAGCCATTGTAATGCTAAAGTGAAATGCCAAGCAAGCACAGAGCAACACCGATTATAGAGAACAACCGATCATTTTAGGAGTCTTTCGTGTTTTAAAACCCTCAGAATCAGCATCATAATTGATACTTGCTTGTACGTTACTTGCTCTGAAGTAATTTACCACAAGTTCAAGCTCTTGATTCTTCATTCAAGGCTTCCGTCACCATCTTTGCTGAATAAAATGAGAATTTATATGTTCATTTACAGTTTAAGTCCTTCAAAAGAAAATAAGTTATAAGTTACCGTTTGTAAACCATCAAGTAAAAAGGAATAACATATTTTCCTTAACATTACATCTTAAATATATATAAGTTTAAAGAAATGAATTTTAAAACGTTTTTAAATATATTTTTCGATTTAAAAAGTTTTACACTAATATAATTATGAAAATATTATTAACATTTTTTGTTAGCTGCTTTGCACAATGTTTTACATTGTGAATTAACATCGCCTCGTTAAATTATTAGATCATTTAAAAAGACGTATTAATGTCGAATAACATTTCCTATTTTATATTTGGCCTGCATGTTTGTCGCACTACATGACAAAAGTTTTCAAATATGAATGAAAAGTCAAGCAGTTTTGTGCATGCATATTTCTAAGCTTTTAATCGCATCCAAAATAAAAGTTTGTGTTTACATAATGTGTTCTGTGTAATTTTTTGTTATAAATACACGCACAATTAAGAAATATTTGCATTTATATGCTGTATATTTATATATCATTCATTTTATATATAAATATAAATATTTTACGGCAGTTATGTTCACGGAAATAAAATAACGAGAAACTAATAATATACTTTTTCAGTTATTGCATTTTATGGGTAAGTTTGCTAAAGTGCAATGTCATGATTTCTAATTTATAAAGTTAATTTAATGCATTTAAAAACAATGTCTTATCATAACTGCTATTTATAGTCCTACTAGCCAAATGATACACTATTTCAAGAAATCCAACAGAAATAAACTCGCCTACTACAGAGAAATGTAATGTCGTAGCGGGATTTGTTTTATCCGTGTGCGTTGAGCGTTTGCTTGGGCCGTGAGCGTCTGAGCGTAGCGCACACGCATAGAGGGAATATTGAGCCGAGCGTCACAATGCGCCTCTTCGCTCACATGATGTGCGCACTACGCTACTCCTGACGTCACAAGTTGCACTTGATTGCGCGAGTAGACTGCGTTTGGCCGGAAGCTAGTTATTTTACTTTATAAAGTTTTAAATACGGATATTTTTCTTACACAAACGCATGGCTGTGCTTCAGAAAGGCCTTTATAAAGCATGTAAGAGCCAGGATATTTTTATTTATATTTTTATATATATAACTTCAATTTTATTTGTCTGAAGGGAAAATGTCATATACGCCTAGGATGGCTTTAGGGTGAGTAAATCATGGGCTAATTTTCATTTTGGGTGAACTATCCCTTTAAGTCATGTGTGTGGGTTCACAGGGGCACGGTGTGCAATGTTGTGAACAGTCACGAGTCAGAAGCGGGCGGCGGTGGAGACGGCCGGCTGCCCATCATCTTCAACCCGGACTTCTTTGTGGAGAAGCTGCGTCACGAGCGACCCGAGGCCTTCACCGAGCTGGTGCTGAGTAACATCACGCGCCTCCTCGACCTCCCGGGGGCCGAATTCTCACAGTTACTGGACGAGGAGCCCAAGACCCCCAATGGCACTGTGGCGGGAGGCTTCTTCCGCTCCTTCAACTTCCTCAAACGCAAAGGTCAGGAGGTTTTGGGGAGTCGTAGCTAGTTTCCATTTCTGCCTGCATAAATCATTCCTCATGTGTTGGACAAATTTACAACCAGTCCATTGTCAATATGCCTTCGAGCTTATAATGGAGGCGCCGGTGATTTTTCTGCGGGAAGACTTCAGACTCTATTGACTGAATCTATTGAACAACCTTCAGAGTGAGAATTAGATCATCTGTTTTGGGAAGTTCTCTGAAGTTAGTTTCCTGCCGTCGGCTCCTGCTATTGAGCGGCTAGCTCTAGATTCATTACCGCCTAGCCAAAAGTAATGGGTGAAACAAAAGTCAGGACCTCATTGTGGTTTCAATGTGTGACCAACAGTATTTGGTTCCCAAACCAAAGGAAGACTCTTGTATAGAAGTAATTCAACACATTTCTTGACCCTAAATACAAACCCAATTCCATAAAAGTTGGGACACTGTACAAATTGTGAATAAAAACAGAATGTAATGATGTGGAAGTTTCAAATTTCGATATTATATTTAGAATACAACATAGATGACATATCAAATATTGAAAGTGAGACATTTTGAATTGCTATGCCAAATATTGGCTCCTTTTGGATTTCATGAGAGCTACAAATTCCAAAAAAGTTGGGACAGGTAGCAATAAGAGGCCAGAAAATTTAAATGTACATATAAGGAACAGCTGGAGGACCAATTTGCAACTTATTAGGTCAATTGGCAACATGATTGGGTATAAAAAGAGCCTCTCAGAGTGGCAGTGTCTCTCAGAAGTCAAGATGGGCAGAGGATCACCAATTTCTCCAATGCTGAGGCAAAAAATAGTGGAGCAATATCAGAAAGGAGTTTCTCAGAGAAAAATTGCAAAGAGTTTGAAGTTATCATCATCTACAGTGCATAATATCATCCAAAGATTCAGAGAATCTGGAACAATCTCTGTGCATAAGGGTCAAGGCCGGAAAACCATACTGAATGCCCGTGATCTTCGGGCCCTTAGACGGCACTGCATCACACACAGGAATGCTACTGTAATGGAAATCGCAACATGGGCTCAAGAATACTTCCAGAAAACATTGTCAGTGAACACAATCCACCGTGCCATTCACCGTTGCCGGCTAAAGCTCTATAGGTCAAAAAAGAAGCCATATCTAAACGGGAACCAGAAGCGCAGGCGTTTTCTCTGGGCCAAGGCTCATTTAAAGTGGACTCTAGCAAAGTGGAAAACTGTTCTGTGGTCAGACGAATCAAAATTTGAAGTTCTTTTTGGAAAACTGGGACGCCATGTCATCCGGACTAAAGAGGACAAGGACAACCCAAGTTGTTATCAGCGCTCAGTTCAGAAGCCTGCATCTCTGATGGTATGGGGTTGCATGAGTGTGTGTGGCATGGGCAGCTTACACATCTGGAAAGGCACCATCAATGCTGAAAGGTATATCGAAGTTCTAGAACAACATATGCTCCCATCCAGACATCGTCTCTTTCAGGGAAGACCTTGTATTTTCCAACAAGACAATGCCAAACCACATACTGCATCAATTACAACCTCATGGCTGCGTAGAAGAAGGATCCAGGTACTGAAATGGCCAGCCTGCAGTCCGGATCTTTCACCCATAGAAAACATTTGGCGCATCATAAAGAGGAAGATGCAACAAAGAAGACCTAAGACAGTTGAGCAGCTAGAAGCCTTTATTAGACAAGAATGGGACAACATTCCTATACCTAAACTTGAGCAACTTGTCTCCTCAGTCCCCAGACATTTGCAGACTGTTATTAAAAGAAGAGGGGATGCCACACAGTGGTAAAAATGGCCTTGTCCCAACTTTTTTGAGATGTTTTGATGCCATGAAATTTAAAATCAACTTATTTTTCCCTTAAAATTATGCATTTTCTCAGTTTAAACATTTGATATGTCATCTATGTTGTATTCTAAATATAATATTGAAATTTAAAACTTCCACATCATTGCATTCTGTTTTTATTCACAATTTGTACAGTGTCCCAACTTTTATGGAATTGGGTTTGTACATTCTTAACCCTTGTGCATCCTTAGGCTCTGCTGAAGACGCTGTGCTTTGGGCGCTTGAGAGCGTTTTGGCAGCGCAGCGTTTTTCCGTTGAGACGTTTCGTTGCTATGATACAGAATATGTTGCTGTTTGAATGTTGTGACAGTTGGTCAGTGTGGTTTAGTCCCGCCCCTCCTCCACTGTGATTGGACGGCTGGGTAAAAAGTGACAGTGATGGGCGCTGCGTTTTATCCAAAGTTGAACATTTTTCAACTCTCGGCGACCAGTAAAAAACGCCGGTTGCTCGGCGCTTCAGCGTGAAAAAAATGCTCAGCGTCTCGTTACGCTCATGGCGTTTAAACAACGCGACGCTCCCATTGAAAACAATTGGAAACATACGCCAGGAGCATGGAAAAACGCTTTGGTGGACACACGGCCTTAAAGACTTTTTTGTGGGTTTTTTTTTTTTTTTTTTCAGTTTTTTTGCATAGATTTTGGCACAAGTGTGTGTTTTTATTGGAATTTTACTATTTCACCCTCATTTCCTTTCATAAATCTATTTTATACTAGAAACACACAATAGTGCCACTTAGGACCAAAAATGTCCCCATTGAAATTGATGTAAATTATTATGCATTTAGTTAATAGGCTCTCATTCTGTTGTCAAAGCTTCAAAATGGAAACTTTACTATTTTTTACAAGATGGCGTCATTTCCTCAGTTTTGGCCTATAAAGCAAAGACTCACTATTTTGCTGTTTTCTACTTCTGCGTTGGTTTGGATGTCAAAATCGTTCTGAAAGCTAATCTTTATTAGATATAAACCTCAATTTGAAACATTTTACTAAATATAGATTTTACATACAATAATATTCATAAATAAGTTAATAAACCTCTTACTACTTTCACTTTTTTTAACTTCTGTCACTTCAACAATAATCTGACAATCTGTCACAGCTCTTTAAAATGAGACCAAAATTAAGCCACTTTCACATTTTGTGACAGGCTTTTTTTGACAGATTATTATAACCTCAGATTATTACTGTTTTACTGTATTTTTTTTATCAAATAAAGTCAGCCTCTGTGAGCAGAAGAGACAGACTTCTTTCAATAACCAAAGTGTACCCTTGAAATGAAAAAACAAAACAAAACAAACTACAACAACATGATGCATAAATTTGGCATTTTACATAAATAAATATATTTATTTTCAAGGTATATTTAATTTCATAATTCATTTGGTTTATCATTAAATGAGTATTTAACATTTTACATGAGGCCTTATTTATGTATGCATTTCATTTTGCACTTTCATTTATTGCAAAATTCCATGATATATTGAAATCACTCTGTAATTGCACTGAAGACAATGCAAATTATTAAAGTATTTTCAGTAATGTATTTATTTTGTATTAAGCTGACAGCATATTTTCCCCCTTCATACCAAGTTAAGTTTATACAGCTGAATAGAAACATTTTCATGTCAAATTTATTATTTATTTATATTTTTTTTCAACAAATAAAGTATAATTTATATAGGGAATATTGCCTTCCAATTCCCAGTGAGCAAGTAAAAAAAAAACAGCGATTGGATTGGAAAAACAATGTTTATTATTGGAGATAGGTTTCATTGTGAAAAAAACAAAAAACTGATTTATATCTTTATTTCTTTATTTGGCAGATAAAGGTGGCATGCCGCTCACGGAGGAAGGAATAGGTCACATTTATCAACTCATCATGTACCTCAGCAAAAGTAAGTCCAGGATATTTAATCAAGTTAACGAAATTTCGCCAAAAATGTCTTGCTCTTGAAATTCCTGATTGCTTTTCAAATGATTTTGGTGGATTTTGCTGGTGGATTTACATGTGCATGGTTAAATCGCTGCATGTGTAATGTCAAGGCAAATGAACTCAAACACACTGTGCTTTTTTGCAACTTTTTTGCTGCTTGATACGAAAGGAAAACTCATACGCTTTTAATGTTCCTTGACTGATCTACAAGAGAAGTCTGATATAACTATTAACTAACAAAATTGCGATGATTGACATAGTGGCAGCCGGCAACCATAGCACCGTTCAGCATCTAGTGCAGTGGTTCTCAACCTTCTCCTGCAGGGACCCCCAACAGGACATGTGTTTGTTTTCACCCTGAAATTGCACACCTGATTCAATTAGTCAGCTACACATTAAGCCTTTGAGTAGAGCATGTCTAATAAGTGGAGAACGTCCACTCTCGGTAAACGTCCGGGTTCTGAACTGGTTGCAGTTCCACTCTGGTTCCATATGAGGGCGCTCACAGGACGAGTGCAGAATGAATGGAGGTCTATGGAGCTATACCCCTCAAAATCCACTTTTCTCAGGATATAATTTTTTGTCTTGTAAATTGTAATTTAACCTTCGGTGCTCTTCGGTCGTTTCTGACCGAAAAATTTTCTGTTTTGAATTTTTAAAAATCACAGCTTCATCGGAATGTTACGAAACTTGGTGACTTTTATGGCATTGGGTATGTGAACACACACAAAAATTGAGGTCATGATCCGAGCAGGCTAAGTGGTCGTAAAAAAAATAGTCACACTTGTGCTCTTCGGTCAAAAATGACCGACCCATAGGAAATGAATGGGAAATTGACAAAAACACAGAAACTTTGAGATTTTTTGTGTGTACAATCTACAAATCGGCCACGATGCAGAAAAAAAGTGCTCAGCATTGAAGGGGTGACACTCTACAACATCTAGAGTGCAAAACAGACATACCCACCCCTACACACACACATACACACACACTTTTATACACAAAAACACCAATAAATTGTGATTAAAGAAATCTGTTTTGAATATTTAAAAATCACAGCTTCTTCAGAAAATTACGAAACTTGGTGACTTTTATGGCATTGGGTATGTGAACACACACAAAAATTGAGGTCATGATTCGAGCAATTTAAGTGGTCGTAAAAAAATGAGTCACACTTTTGCTCTTCTGTCAAAAATGACGACCTATAGGAAATGAATGGGAAATTATCTGAATTTTTGTACGTACAATCTACAAATCGGCCACAATTCTAAAAAAAAGTACACCGCAAGAAAGGGGTGACACTCTACAACATCTAGAGTGCAAAACACACACACACACACACACACACACACACACATACAAACACACTTTTATACACATACACACCAATAAATTTTGATTACAAAAAGTATGTTTTGAATTTTTAAAAATCACAGCTTCATCGCAATGTTACGAAACTCCGTGACTTTTATGGCATTATGTATGTGAACACAAAAAAATTGAGGTCATGATCTGAGCAGGCTAAGTGGTCTTAAAAAATAGTCACACTTGTGGTCTTTGGTCAAAAATGACCCCATAGGAAATGAATGGGAAATTGTAAAAAAATGGGAAAAAAAATAATTGTGAATATTTGTTTTTTTTGTCAATTTTTTAATAAGAAATAGTTTTTGAGATTGTTTCAACTATATATACAAATCCACCAACAACAACAAAAAAATGTGTTCATAAACAGCTGGGGAATTCACATGCCTCTCAATAGAGAGCTGTACATGCCATCAAGTGGTTACACCATGATTCTACGCTTTTTCTCTATACTGTAACCAGATGCTAATTTTCTTCAAAAAAATTTTTTTTTTTCTGAAGGCCTAGACTCTATATTAAACTAAAACACTGCATTAATATTTTTTTGAAAAAAATAATATGTATATAGAAAATAATATATATTTTTCCATGGCAAAAAAAGCCATAAATATAGCGTAAATATTAATAAATTCATTTAAATTGTCTCAAAATACTAAATTAAAAAGAATAAATATTATAGAACAAAAATAAATTGCATTGGTTTTACTGGGATGGAGAAAGTTTCATTTTTAGGTGTCCGGTCACTTTTGACCGGGAAGATAACAAGTGTGACTCCGAAACGAAGAGCACCTGAGGGTTAAATGTTGTAATCAAAACGAGGCAACAAGAACTCAACTGGTAAGAAATCGAAAGTACATAAGTACTCGTTCATTCAACTTTCGATTTATAACCCATGTTGAACTTGCAAAATCTCCTATCAAATCTGAGATTTCTCAACGGCAATCGGGTGAACGAGACAAATTTAGCCGTCTAGCCCCATAGACTCCCATTCATAGCTGATCGCCCCCAGTGGAAATCTAATGGAACTACAACCAAAAGTGGAGTGGCCAGGCTCTCCACAGACGTGCTCTGCTTTGAGCTTTTAATTAATTGAATCAGGTGTGCCATATCAGGGTAAAAAAAAGGGGGTCTATGCAGGAGAGGTTGAGAACCACTGATCTAGTGGCTGCAAGCGAGAAACATTAGGAAGCAACGATTCGACATGTTTGGTGTTTTGCTATTTTTTACCATAGTAATATTAGATGCATTATGACCAGAAGGGAAATAATCGATGAGTCATAATCATGACATATCTTAAGCGTATTTCATTTTATTTTATGTAGATACACTGCCCTACAAAATCATTATTTATTCTTTCTGAATAGAGCGATATAAGTTATCTGATAATCTTCTGTCATTTTCTGTCGCATATGAAACTTGGTAATTGTTTTGGTCACACTTGAGCTCCTCGCAGTCAAACATGAGCGCATTGGAAACGAATGCGAGATGAATTTCATCTAGTGGAAACTTTTGGTACTACGACCAAACAAAATCTTAATTTTTTTGGTATCTGGTTAATTTTTTTGAGATATCAACCTCAAATTTGTAACACAACTTGTTTAGATTTATGGCTTTGGATTTTTCACAGTTTTGATATATGCACATTTTTTTTTTAATGAAAATTGAATGTAGTATTTTTTTTTGTTGTTGTATTTTTCATAACTACAAAACTATACTTTTCACTTCTGCAATAATCTATCAAGTGTCTTCTTTAAAGAGACCAAACTTAAATCTATGCTCTAAAGCATTCAAAAGTTATTACAATTTTCAAGTATATACTCAAAACACGAATGCAACTACTGCATAAAAATAATTTAGTATCATAAAAATCCCCTAAAAACGTTACTAACCCAAAATACAGTACATTAACGTCATTGAAATAAAAAAGCACCAGAGGGTTAAGTCATTTTCATATCGCACTATGCTGTATATCGCAGACGATCAAACTATTGCAGTGTCCGTCTTTATTGTGCAGCCCAAGAGACGTTCGGTCTGTTTGTTTTCCGGCAGATCTGCATGTAGAGGGTCTTTTCCGGGTCCCCGGGAACAGCCTGAGACAGCAGACTTTGAGGGAGCAGCTCAACGGGGGAGCCGACATTGACTTCGCCTCCGGTGACTTCCACCCCAATGACGTGGCCACGCTCCTCAAAGGCTTTCTGGGAGAACTGTCCGAGCCCCTGCTGACGCACCGACACCTGCACGCTCACCTGAAGATCACAGGTTGGTCCGCTTTCCCAGCACGTCTCTCGCTGCCGTCCGTCACCCACTGACGGGGCTCCTTCTGTTCTCCACAGAGCTGAAGCTGTTCGACGAGCGAGGGGATAAGACGAGTGTGCCGGATAAGGAGCGTCAGATCGAGGCCCTCCAGCTGCTCCTGCTCCTGCTGCCCACGGCCAACCGCACGCTCCTCAAGCTCCTGCTGGACCTGCTCTATCACACCGCCAAACAGCAGGACAAAAACAAGATGTCTGCGCACAACCTCGCACTCATGTTCGCCCCGCACGTCATCTGGCCCAAGAACGTATGTCGGTGGTTTGCTTTTTTTTAACCGTTAAACGTCCGAGCATGCGTCATGTTTCATGTGTTGCTTTCTTCAGATGAATGCCAGTGACCTTCAGGAGAACCTGAAGAAGCTGAACAGCGGCATGGCTTTTCTCATCAAACATTCACAGAAGATCTTTCGGGTACTTTTCCTCTTTTATCTTCTCTGATACTATATCATTTTAATGTTTTTTTGAAGTACTATTTATAAATCTATTCTAGTTTTTGTTAATGTTTTGAATGAGACTTAAGTATGTTATTCATTTTGTTATGTGCTTTTGTCACAAAATATACATATTTTAAATATTTCTATTTAGCTTTAATTTATTTTTATTTCAGGTTTATCCATTTTAGTGCTTCAGCTTGAATATATTTATTTCAGTTAGTTGACAAGGAAATATTTGTAATTTTGTTCGTCCGGTTTATTATCGTAAACTGAAGCCAAAATGATTAAAAATTGAATGAAGCTGAAATCTAAATATTAGTTGAACAACTTACTTTAGAAATGTTGCCTTGGTAGTAATTCATTGGAAATGCGGTTAGTGTTGCTGTGAATTTGCTACATTTATTTTTTTTTTTTACTTGTTTTTGGAACAGTCATATGAAATCAGTGTCACGTTTTCAATGGTGATGTGTTGAGGAAAACGGTGCTCTCGGCCGTGTGATGTTGCTTAACTTTTTATCACATGTTTTAAATGTGAAAACTCCACATTTTGAATGTTTTACCGCAGCACATTAACTGAGTTTCTTTGTGTTTCTTTTGTCCCGGACAAGCGTTAATGTCGAGCCTGGACCTAGTTTAACCCTTTGTTTACATTTAAGTCCGCACCAAGAAAAAAGTGTTGACAAATGATCTTCTTATGTCACTAGTAACCACACTCAATATATATATTTTTTTCAACACATCCCATCATTTTTTAAATATAGGCCTCTACCAAATGGTTGAGATGTCGCTTAATGGTAATAAATGGTACCGGAATTCATACACATACTTTGCCATACTTTTTCATAATTTATGATCAAAACCTTTTCTAGTCTTGACAAAACACATATTGTCAGAAAGGCCTGAGTCTCAAGGTTCCATATTTTGTAACAGGAGTGATATTTGGACAGAAATTTATTAATTTGTTACATCAGAATGCATACAATTAAATTGAATGGAATTTATGTCATTTTTGATATTACGCCTAAACAAAATCTCATGGGAACTTCTTCAGTTTTTGTGATATCAACTTCAAATTTGGAACACAACTTGGTTAGATGTATGGCTTTGATTTTATAGGGAAAAAAATATTTTGTAAAATATATATTTTATATAAAAGAAAAAATATTTAGTACAGTATATTTAATTTAATGTAAATTTAAAACTTCCATAACTTTTTCATACTTTTATTTTTTGAAGTGTTTTTACTTCAGCAGTGTTTTCGGTAAAACAAGACTAAACTTTTAGGTCTTTATTCCAAAGCATCCTTGAATTACAACCAAGTTTTAATAGTGCATTGTACTGTCCATTCTCAAAAAGGAGGTCACAATTAACTGTTATGTGCCAAATCAACCGTTTGGTTGAGCATGTTTTTGACAAAATTATTAAAAATATACTAAAATAAGTTTTTTCATAGCACCAAGTAACATCATTTTGTAAAGTTAGTGTAATATGTAAAAAAAAATATGCTTAGCTTGCAAAATTTCCCCAAAAACAGTTCACATGGCTGGGGTGATTTATTTGTTTCTGACATCCATGTTACAAGAAGTGATGTGACAAGTGCTGTTGATTGACACTGTTAAATCTAGTGGATTTTTTATTTTTTTTTGGCATAACATACCTCAACCAGATGATGGAGATGGCTCAATTAAGTTAGTGACTCAAAATGTGCTCAACCGTTTGGTTGAGAAGTCAGTTGAAAAATGTCTTATTTTTATTTTATTTCAGCTTTATTTCAGTTCTTGAAGACAATTTTGAAGAGTTTTAGTTACACTTAACTGTCACCGTCCCACAGGTGGGACGTTTGCCACTATATTTTTAAAATAATATCTTAGTAAATACCTTTAGTAATATTGGCAAACTATATATCATTTGAAAGCTTACAATCTCTAGTTTCCATATTTGGTGACTGATTTTCAAAATATATTACAGAGAAGCCATAATTTATCAATATGCAACAAGAATATTTTCATACTCATAAGGCGTGTTCAGACCTTTATTTTAAAATAGCAGTAAACATGAAAAATCAGAAAAAAATTGTAGAAACCTCAGTTTGTTTTCATGCCAAAAGTTCAAAAGACAGAATCCATTCAATTATTTTGGAAAAAAATGTCTGAAAAGTTTGAAATATCAAGAAAAAAATAATAAATTCACCATTTGTGACGTGGCAGCTAGCTATGACTTACATACGTGTTCTTTGTATGTGTTTCTTAGAGGTTCAATTTATTTAAAAATCTGCCAAACTTCCCATACTACTTCTGAATAGGATCTCTACTTCAGAAATTGTATGAAAATTGTGAAAATAATGGTTCAGATCACTCAAAACACGAATGGATATGCAGGCGCCCTTATATGGGCAATAATGGAGTCTAATTGTGCCCTAGTGAAAAAGTTTGGTACTGCGCTCAAACAAAATCTTACTGAAAGCTCATTTTTTGAGATATCAACCTAAAATTTGAAACACAACTTGTTCAGATTTTTGGCTTTGATCTTTCTGCCGTTTTAGAGTAGCCCAGGTTTTGAAAATATATATTTTATGTAAAATATGAATAATTTATATTTTTACATTGTACATTTCCATAAACTCAAACTTCTATAACTTTTTTTCTGTTTCACTTTCTTAATTTATTTCACTTCTACAAAAATCTGCCAAATGTCTTCTTTAAAACAAGACCAATCATATGTCTATATTCCAAAGCATTCTTGAATTACAACCATTTAAGTTCGAAACGTGCATTTTCATGTCTATTCAAAAAAGGGGGGGTGACAGTTAACAGGTTAACAAAATCACCAGTGACGTGACGTTTAAAGGATGTTTATGTGTGTTTTACTCTGATTGTGAAATGAACTGGTCTTCTGTTGTCTTCTCATGTGAAGGCACCGGTGTATCTGCGGGAACACGCCAGACTTCAGTTCGCCAACACCAAAATTATCCACTCCAAGGTTTGTGCCGTTTATGCTCGTCCTAAAGCCAATCTAAGCTCTGATTGGAGCGTGACACACCGTCAGTCCTGTAAGTGTACTGGTGTGAGTGAGATGATGCGCTCTCTCTGGCTGCAGGATGACCTGGAGCTGCTGGCGGTCAGCGGGTCTCCTCTGGGGAAGAGGAGCGGAGCACGAGTGGGGCTCGACTCAGAGAATCACACAGAAGAGGCGCTGCGAGAGCTCTATCGACACGTCACCGACAACATGCCACACTCCGCCAAGAAGAAGAAGCTCATCAGACAGGTGAGGCCACACGGCGTAGCGGGGTTTTCTGTTTTTGGGTGATTTTGTTATGTTAAAAATAACTGATTTTTATTATTATTATACTAATGATAGTTAATTCATTGTTTGATTGTCTTATTATTTGTATTATATTATATATATTATACATTTTTGCTGTAATTAGTTGAATGGTTTTAAAGTCGGTCACTCTATTTTAATCTGAAATTTTGCATTTATTGCATTTATCCTTATAAATATTGCATAGTATCATATAATCCCCTCAGGAATTCTAAATAATAAAAATAATTACTGGAAAAAACATTTATTCGGGCCCTTTGGACCACAGAGGGCCTAAAGGCTAGATTTGATTTTGTTAGTGTGCTTTTTTGCTATAGATATTTTAATTTATATATATATATAAATTATTATTATCATGATTAATTAGACTATTAAGATAAACAATAAGTATTATTATTATACTGACAGCAGATTCCTTGAGATGGGAATTTTAGTTTGTTAGCATACATTTTTGCAATAATTACGTAAAGGAGTAGTTCACTTTAAAAAAAAACTTTTGCAGATAATTTACTCACCCCCATGTCATCCAAGATGTCCATGTCTTTCTTTCTTCAGTCGAAAAGAAATGAAGGTTTTTGATGAAAGTATTTCAGGATTTTTGTCCATATAATGGGCTTCAATGGGAACCAAACGGTTCAAGGTCCAAAAGACAGTTTCAGTGCAAATGGTTCAAAGGGCTTTAAACGATTCCAGACGAAAATGAACGAATCTTTTTCCGAGTCATTTAGTTCGTAAAAAGAAAAAAGATTCGTTCATTTTGATAAACGAGTTCGAAAAGGAGAGTCACAGAACAGAGTACGGCGAGCATTTGAGCTTATAAAACTTAAACTTTGATTATTTGATTATTTATTTATTTTTTTTAAATGAGCAAACTTTTCGCTTGATAAGACCCTTATTCATCGTCTGGACTCGTTTAAAGCCCTTTGAACAGTTTGCACTGAAACTGTCTTTTGGACCTTGAACCGTTTGGTTCCCATTGAAGTCCATTATATGGAGAAAAATCTGGAATGTTTTCATCAAAAACCTTCATTTCTTTTCGACTGAAGATGACATGGGGGTGAGTAAATTATCAGCAAAAGTGTTTTAAAAGTGAACTACTCCTTTAATAATAAAAAAATAATTCATCAATATTATTATTATAATTTTTTATCACTGTTATTGTTAATACTTTTTTATAAAGTAAACTAGATCATGCTATTATTATAGGACATACATTTTATAAGTGATTTATTTAAAAACAAATCATGCTTCTTGTTGTTGATTATTATTATTATGATGCTAATGGCAACAGAGGTGTTTTTTTTCTTTTTTAAAAAAAAGTCTTTTTCGTTCTGTTTGTTTTCACATTTTTTCTGTGATGTGATTTCAGCTGGGCAAGCAGTCGACCCCCGTGACTCCTGTCAGTGAGAATACGACTCCTACCAGTAAAAAACACACACGCTCGCGCTCCTTCGGCGGCCTCATCAAGGTCAGCACAGGCTATCATGTGTCCTTTAACTCAAGCCATACATCCTTTGCTCGTTACAAAGTACTATAGTCACACTGTAACAAAGCGGGTGTGTGATGAGTTCTGCTGTGTTTAACCGCAGAGGAAGGTTTTGGGGAGCCAGCCTGCGGTGGACAGGAGAGGGCGAGTGTCTCCTCCGGGGAAGGAGAACCTCAGCGGCGGGACAGAGAGCTGAGGAAGAGGAGGAGAGGTGAGCAGCCACAGCACACACACTCTTTATTTCTACGTTTTCTTTTCTTTTCTTTTACCTTTATTGGTAACACTTAAGGTTCATTAGTTAACATTAGTAAATGCATTAACTAACATGAACTAACGATGAGCAATGCATTAGTTACAGTGTTTGTTAATCTTTGTTAATGTTAGTTAATATAAATCCAGCTGTTCATGGTGCGTTCATGGTAGTTCACAGTCCATTAACTAATGTTAACTAATACGACCTTTGATTTTAATAACGTATTAGTAAATGTTGGAATTAATATTAACTAAGATTATTAAATGCTGAAGAAGTATTGTTCATTCTTAGTACATGTTAACTAATGAACCTTATTGTAAAGTGTTACCTTTTTATTTTTTTATTTCGGTTGTTATTCCAGGTGTGGAATTTATTTTATTTTCATTGTTCTAATTTGTTTTTGTTACATCTATTTATTTAATTTTTTGTGTTCATTTGTGTTTTTTTATTTACCGTTTTACTTCAAAAGTTATATTTATTTTGGATTTTTAAATGTAAATTTTAGTTTTTATTTAAAGTGTCTTTTTAAAATCATTTGTATTATGTAGTGTCATTTGTTTTTGTATTATTTCACGAGTGGTATTTATTTATTTTTGTTTTTAAATGTAAATTTTAGTTTTTATTTAAAGTGTCATTTGTTTTTATTTGCTTTGCTTTTGTGTTATTTCACGAGTGATATTTCTTTATTTTGTTTTAATTCTGTTTGAATGATTGTGAATTGGTTGTGAATGTAACGTATCTCTGTAACTTTGCTTGTTGTTTTTGTCTGTAGTGTGCATTCAGTCTGAACAGAAGACTTCATCCTAAACAACGGGAGGAGATAGTTTTATTCGAATTATTTTATTTATATTTTTAGATTCTGTATTGTTTAACATGGGGACTAATTTTCATTTAACGTGACTTTATTTTCCCTTCTTTTTTTAATCCGCCGCAGAGTTTTAAACCGTTACGTCAGGTGTGCTTGGGTAAACCACTAGTTAGTTGCACTGGGAGTTGTTAACTGACCATTTGCAGTCTGTATATGTGTAAATACGTGTGTGTGTGCTGATATCTGGACCGTACGCTAACACACAATCCATGCTGTGGTCAAATGTCACAAAAGTGCATTACCGCTATTCACAGCAACTGGTATTTGTTTACATATTGACATTGTCTTAATAACACTGTGAACATTCAAAATATGACATTTTGTGACTAGAACAATACGACTGTGATTCATTTTAAACCTTCTTTGTTGTAAATCATCAGCAATTTGGCCACTGAGTCAAAGAGATTCATGTATTTCGTTACATATTTAGTGATTTTTCATCATTCATATGGTGAGAAGTGCACAAAGCAGTCGTGTTTCTCAATGAAAAGCTGTTACGTTTTGTTGCGTGTCAAGGGTCTTTGATGTGTCTTGAAGGTTTGTGTAAGTTTGGACTGTGGGATTATGGGAAGGATGGTAATTGTGGCTGTGATTTGAACAGCGGGAATGTGCCGTGTGTAAGTTTGCGCTTGGATCTGTGGGAATTAAAGGATGTTGTGGAAGGAATTACTGTTAATGCTGGTTTGGCTTTTGATCCTGAACGTCTCCTGTCATGTGTTACTCCTCACAGTGCTGTGATGTCACTTCCTTACATATATATCGCGCTTTATATATGTGCTAATAGATGCACAATCCCTCCACTTTAAAGACTCGTACATTTTAACTGCCGAATTGCTTATTTTTATCAGTATTTTGCCATTTTAATACACAAGGGACAGCTCACCCAAAAACGGTCATTCTGTCATCAGTTTACACACCCTCAAGTCGGTCCAGACATGAATGATATGTTGTTAAACCAGTCTGATATTTTGAAGACTATATATATATATATACCGACAGTCTTCAAAATATCAGACCGGTTTGGATTGGAACGACTTAAGGTGTGTAAATCATGTTTCCATTTTTGGATGATCTGTCTCTTTACATTTGTTAAATAAGCAAAACAAGCCCATCTTTTAACATGGTACAAGCTGTGTCGAGTTTAATATGGGGAGCTGATGATGGGCGTTTACAAATGTAGAAATTGTAACAACTTTTCACAGAAGCAGTTCTTAAAGTGTTTTTAGAAGCGCTTGGTGTCTTTATTTTTTTTTTTTATATAGGTTGTTGTAGATGCTACAAATGTATCATCTGCATTGTGTAATTGTTAAGTGGGATGTTTTTTGTAGTGTGTGTGTGTGTGTGGAAGTTGGGCAGGTTTTAACATCTACTGAAAAATGTGATGTGGCAAATTGGGAAATTCATTGATTTTGGAATAAATTTTGCGCATTTACACTTTCAATATAAAAGGTTTGTTTTTTTTCCTTTTATTGTTACAGTAGTTAAAACTGGAGGGTTAAAAAATCGGTTTGATCTGTGAAACATTTGTATTTTGTACATGATCTGCTGTATAATGGGTGCTTCTGTGTATTTCATTTTATATTAAAACTTTTACCGGCTGAATTGTAACTCGCTTTTCTTTCTTCTGTACGATATATACGGAGATGTGTATTCTTTGAGTTGTGCCTGATTACTGCTGGTTAATGTTTGCTCGCAGTTCCAGGGCTCTCCGCTAGAGGTCAATGCAGATCAACTCATAACCGGCACTTGTGCTGCTGACAGAAATATGATTGTATCACTTGATTGTATTATTTATTAGGAATCATCACAAATATACTTTCAAAAAGATAACTAAAAGATTTCCGTTGGCTGAGATAAAGGATCAGATTCTCTGAGCGGTAAGTGGTCTAAATAAATGCAATCGCTTTAGCAATCAGTTTGTGTTGAGCTATCGGAACAGTTTTAGGTTTTTTTTTTTTTTCCACAATTTGTAGTATTGGAATTTTTAATCAGGCGGAGACTTAGTTAATATTAATGAAATGATTTTATAATCGGGCTATATGTGTTATCAGATTATAAGAATCAAGTACAATGCCTTGCATTCAGAAAATGTCTGATTTGCTCAGTTTTAAGTACATTTCACCAGTTTACTAAATTTATTTATATTTTCATTAAACCACACAATAAGACAAGCCTCTATGTTATGTTTATAAAGATGTAGTTTATAGAGATGACTTATACGATTTTGTTATAGCTAGTAATAATGCGTTTGTTATACATTTCTCGATGGATTAATTTTTATAAGTAAACATTGACAATTTAAAATACACGTTCCTGTAAAGCAGAGTGTCCTGAACATTAGTCTAAATGCAAATTTAAAATATAACACCTGTTAAGTGTCACCCCCCTTCTTTGGAATATATAGACGTAAGATTGGTCTCGTTTTAAAGACATTTGGCAGATTTGTAGACGTGAACTCAATCAAAACAGTGAAACAGAAAAAAGTTATAGAAGTTTGAGTTCATGGAAATGTACAATGTACATTTTTTTTTCTTTTTTTATATAAAATATATATTTTCCAAACGTGGGCGACTCTAAAACTGCAAAAAAATAATAATAAATAAATAAAAAATAAATAAATCAAAGCCAAAACTCTTAAGTTGATTTAAAGTGTTAGGTTTATATCTAAAAAAAATTAGCTTTCAGTTTTTTTTGATTTTGTACCAAACTTTGGCACTAGGCCTCAACCAGACTCCATTACTGCCCATATAAGGGCGCCTCTGAACCATTATTTCCACATTTTTCATACAGTTTATGAAGTAGAGATCCTATTCAAAAGTAGTATGGGAAGTTTGGCATATTTTGGTATGAATTCAACCTCTAATAAACATAGAAAGAACACAGATGTGCGTTATAGCTTGCTGCCACATGACAAATGGTGAATTTATTATTTTTTTCTTTATATTTAAAACATTTTCAGACCTTTTTTTTTCTAAAATAATTGAATGTATGATATCTTTTGGACTCTTGCCATAAAAACAAACTGAAGTTTCTACCATTTTTTTCATGTTCATTGCTATTTCAAAATAAAGGTATGAAAATATTCTTAATTGATAAATTATGGCTCCTCTGTAATTTATTTTGAAAATCTGTCACCATAAATGGAAAAGCTTTCAAATGATTTATAGTTTGTCAATATTACTTAAGATTTTTACCAAGATATTATTGTTTTAAAAATATAAAAAGCAAACGTCCCACCTGTGGTACGGTGACAGTTAAGGGGTAAAAACTACAGATAACACAATAATTTTTTGCTTTGTTTGTGTGACTGCATATCCCATCTATGCTTTAAATATTAAAATATTTTTCCATTAGAAATCAATAATATGTTTATGTTATATAAAATACACATTTTAGTCCAGTTTTTACTCAGTCCTGCTACTCTCACACATTGCCCCCTCTATAAACCTTGGAAAATGCCACAAGACACATTTTCAACAGGCATCATCTGGGTTTTATACAGGCCACGCGAAGACCAAAAGTAAGTCCTCTCATTTTAATATCTGTATGATTATATTGTAACTAAGACTGAGAAGATCTATCTAAACATACTGTCCTGTTAGCTAATTTATGCCTTAGATGTTATTTGTTCATGGTAAAAAATGTTAAAAAAGAAACATTAGTTCCTGTTATGCAGTGTTCATTCCTGTTACCCAGTATTTGTTCCTGTTACCCAGTTTTCGTTCCTGTTACCAAGTGTTCTTTACTGTTACCCAGTATTTGTTTCTGTTACCAAGTGTTCATTCCTATTACCCAGCATTCATAACCAGCGTTCATTCCTGTTACCCAGTGTTCATTCCTGTTACCCAGTGTTTGTTCCTGTTACCCTGCATTCATTCCTGTTTACCTAGTGTTTGTTCTTGTCACCCAGTATTCATTCCTGTCACCCAGTATTTGTTCATAACACCCAGTGTTTGTTCCTGTCACCCAGCGTTTGTTCCTGTCACTTAGCGTTCGTTCTTGTTACCCAGCATTCATTCCCGTTACCCAGTGTTCGTTCCTGTTACTCAGTGTTGGTTCCTGTTACCCAGCGTTCGTTCTTGTTACCCAGTGTTTGTTCCTGTTACCCAGTATTTGTTCTTGTTACCCAATGTTCGTTCCTGTCACTCAGCGCTCATTCCTGTCACCCAGTGTTTGTTCTTTTTATCCAGCGTTCCTTTTTGTTACCCAGCATTTGTTCCTGTTACCCAGTGTTTGTTCCTGTCACCCAACGTTCGTTCCTGTCACCCAACGTTCATTCGTTCCTGTTTACCTAGTGTTTGTTCCTGTCATCCAGCGTTCATTCTTGTTACCCAGCGTTCGTTCATGTTACCCAGCGTTCGTTCCTGTTACCCAGTGTACATACATATTACCCAATGTTCGTTCCTGTTACCCAGTGTTCATTCCTATTACCCAGTGTTCATTCCTGTTATCCAGCATTCGTTCCTGTTACCCAGCACTCATTCCTGTCACCCAGCATTCATTCCTGTCACCCAGAGTTCGTTCCTGTCACCCAACATTCATTCTTTCCTGTTTACCTAGTGTTTGTTCCTGTCATCCAGCATTCATTCTTTTTACCCAGCGTTCATTCCTGTTACCCAGCATTTGTTCGTTACACAACGTTCATTCCTGTTACCCAGCGTTCGTTCCTCTTACCCAGTGTTTGTTCCTGTCACCCAGCGTTCATTCTTGTTACCCATTATTCGTTCCTGTTACCCAGTATTTGTTCTTGTTACCCAATGTTCGTTCCTGTCACTCAGCGCTCATTCCTGTCACCAAGTGTTCGTTCTTTTTAATCAGCGTTTGTTTTTGTTACCCAGCATTTGTTCCTGTTACCCAGCATTCCTTCTTGTTACCCAGCATTAGTTCTTGTTACCCAGTGTTTGTTCCTGTTACCCAGTGTTTGTTCCTGTTACCCAGCACTTGTTCCTGTCACCCAGCATTCGTTCCTGTCACCCAGCGTTCGTTCTTGTCACCCAGAGTTCACTCCTGTCACCCAACCTTCATTCGTTACTGTTTACCTAGTGTTTGTTCCTGTCATCTAGCATTCATTCTTGTTACCCAGCGTTCGTTCCTGTTACCCAGCGTTTGTTCGTTACACAACATTCATTCCTGTTACCCAGCATACGCTCCTGTCACCCAGAGTTCGTTCCTGTCACCCAGCGTTCGTTCCCGTCACCCAACATTCGTTCTTGTTACCCAGCATTCGTTCCAGTCACCCAGAGTTCGTTCCGGTCACCCTGCGTTCCTGTCACCCTGCTTTCGTTTCTGTCACCCAACGTTCGTTCCGGTTAGCCAGCATTCGTTCCTGTTTACTTAGTGTTTGTTCCTGTTATCCAGCATTCATTCCTGTCACCCAGTGTTTGTTCCTGTTACCCAGCATTCGTTCCTGTTTACCTAATGTTTGTTCCTGTCACCCAGCGTTCATTCTTGTTACTCAGCGTTCGTTCTTGTTACCCTGTGTTTGTCCATGTTACCCAACTTTTGTTTCTGTTACCAAGTATTCGTTTCTGTTACCTAGCGTTCATTCCTGTTACCCAATGTTTGTTCCTTTTACTCAGCATTCGTTTCTGTTTATCTAGTGTTTGTTCCTGTCACCCAGCATTCGTTCTTTTTACCCAGCGTTCGTTTTTGTTACACAGCATTTGTTCCTGTTACCCAGTGTTCGTTCCTGTTACCCAGCACTCGTTCCTGTCACCCAGCGTTCGTTCCTGTCACCCAGCGTTCGTTCCTGTCACCCAGCGATCATTCCTGTCACCCAGAGTTCGTTCCTGTCACCCAACATTAATTCGTTCCTGTTTACCTAGTGTTTGTTCCTGTCATCCAGCATTCATTCTTGTTACCCAGTGTTCATTCCTGTTACCCAGCATTTGTGCATTACAAAACGTTCATTCCTGTTACCCAGCATTTGTTCCTATTTACCTAGTGTTTGTTCCTGTCATCCAGCATTCATTCTTGTTACCCAGCATTTGTGCGTTACACAACGTTCATTACTGTTACCCAGCGTTCGTTCCTGTTACCCAGTGTTTGTTCCTGTTACCCAGCATTCGTTCCTATTTACCTAGTGTTTGTTCCTGTCACCCAGCATTCATTCTTGTTACCCAGCGTTCGTTCTTGTTACCCAGCATTCGTTCCTGTTACCTAGTGTTAATTCCTGTTTCCCAGTATTCATTCCTGTTACCAGCACTCGTTCCTGTCACCCAGCGTTCATTCCTGTCACCCAGAGTTCGTTCCTGTCACCCAACATTCATTCGTTCCCGTTTACCTAGTGTTTGTTCCTGTCATCCAGCGTTCATTCTTGTTACCCAGCATTCATTCCTGTTACTCAGCGTTTGTTCGTTACACAACGTTCATTCCTGTTACCCAGCGTTTGTTCCTGTTACCCAGCATTCGTTCCTATTTACCTAGTGTTTATTCCTGTCACCCAGCGTTCATTTGTGTTACCCAGCATTCGTTCCTGTTACCCAGTGTTCGTTCCTGTCACTCAGCGCTCGTTCCTGTCACCCATCGTTCATTCTTGTCACCCAGAGTTCGTTCCTGTCACCCAACATTCATTCTTTCCTGCTTACCTAGTGTTTGTTCCTGTCATC